ACAAGGAAGAAGTCACCCCCAACTACAGCTCCTCAGAACACACGGTTGTGTCACGTGAAGCTGCGACAAGCTTTAAGCATTAAACTTTCAACAAGTTTCCACTTTGAAAGTTTAAACTGGATGTGCTTGTGGCGGCTGCTTCGGTATAAACCAGACGTGCTCGTGGTTGTTCGACTTCATTCACACCAGCAACTTTCGACGACTTGCAGACGGTTGCGCACACTGCGCTGGGTACGCCGCCGCAGACGTAGGTTGATCGGTGCATCCGCAACTCAACTTGTGCGAGCTGCGCTCGTTGGTCACTCATTGACACAAGCACGCAGCTGCTGTGCCTTGGCGACGCAGGCTTTGCTCCAGGCAGATTTGTACGAAGGTGTACGAAGGTGCACAAAGGTAAAATCAGACGATCCCGCTTCAGCGCTATGGCACTGTGTATCCGTCTGACGCTTTTCTGTTTCTGTGGCCCTTAAGGGCGCTGGACATCGTCAACAATTGCAATTGGACGAGTGGGTAGTTCAAATTATGCAGCAGAGTAGGGTACTGGCCTCTGGGATGTGTGGTACTGTCTTGTCTGTTACCTTGATCGGCGAGTAGGAGTAGGATGCCCACAAATGGGAGCAAGGCTATGGGATGACCTCCATGGATCGATGGCTGAGGTTTCTCAGATCAGCGGCTGCTTTCTCTTGCCCCCCTCACCCCCCCCCCCCCCCCAAAAAAAAAAAGAAACTACACTATATTCTTCTCTCCAATTCTTTCATCTTTCACGACCTACCTACCACTACTCCCAAGGCTAGACAGGGGACCCCTGCAAGCATAGCGATCTACCTCTGAAGAAGTGTCCGCGTGCAGGGTGGCCGAAACGCGTCGGAGTATTGCCCCGTGAGGTTGTGGTGTGATGTTGGTATTGGAATCGATCTGTAGATTCCATACTTTCTATACTTGTCCTTTCTGTGACATTGTTAGCATTGTTGACATTGTTGCATGTGTTACAGAGTGTTTGCGTTGGTTGGTGTTTATCTTCTTTCTCTCTGTTCTCGTGCTTTCGCAGTCGATCCGGGCTGTGTTTCTCCTTCTACTTTGAGCTCACATTTCTGAAGTAAAAGTAAATAAAAAAAGGGTTTTAACTTTTAAACTCTTGACTTTTGAATCCTTTGACAATGGGTTTAGGGTTTAGGGTTTACGTTCTAATCAGTTTATTTCAAAATCCAAGATGAAATGTGATGAGCCTACAAACAATTTTAAACTTGGAAGTGCCTTTGCAAAGAGTAATGAAGTTCGCAAAGTCGAAAGTTATAGAGCAGAAAGTGACAGCAAGTGGCAGAAACTGAGTGTCTGAAACTCTTTCATAAAATTCTGAACAATGGATCATTGTTTTCCCTTACTATCTTTAAGTGAATAGCGGGTCTCGCGTCACGCTCTCGCGAGAACCCGCATCCACTGTTGGGAACGCGGCGGGGCAGTTTTCCCAGGGCCCGTCGGGGAGCGTCCAGTACGTCGGTTGAGTCTATCCCGCCGTTGTCGACGTTCATGAATCGACGGTGGCAGTCCTGCCGGATCGCGAACCTTCCATTGTTCCATTGTGTCGCAGTGTATAACCTTTTTGTTTTTTTGTTTTTTTGTTTTCCCCCGTGATTTTTGGCGGGTCCGTTGGCTCTATCTTGCTGTTGTCGACGTTCGCGAATCGACGGCAGCAATCCTGCTGGATCGCGAACGTTCTGCTTCGCACGACTCCGGCTTTGTCGGCACTCGCGAATCTTCGCACGTCAGTTCCAGTTGTTCAAGTTGTTCGCGAGCGGTGATCCACGTCGCTACTTAAGATCCTGGTGTTAGTTTACGTGGCAAGTTGAACGTGTATGACCTGTTACTTTACTTGCCACGTCGGGTGTTTGAAGGAAATCGTGGAGAGAGAGAGAGAGAGAGAGAGAGAGAGAGAGAGAGAGAGAGAGAGAGAGAGAGAGAGAGAGAGAGAGAGAGAGAGAGAGAGAGAGAGA